CCCCCCCCTCCCTGCGGCCTCACCTGGCCTCACTGCTTTGTGCCTTAGCCCGGGGACGGGGATGGGGGAAAACCCGGGACGGGGGTGGGATGGGGAAAGGGAGATTTATATTTTTGATATCAGCTTTGACCAAAGGAGACCCCTGGCCTCTCTCCGCCTCTTCCTGTGGTTCGTTGGCCCTCTCCCCCGGCTCCGTGCTGCTCTTGGGGGAGGGGCGCCACTGTTGGGGCGCTCCTAGCCCTACCTCCAGCCCTTGCGACCACACCTGTTCTCACTGTGAATCTCCCCGCTGGGGTCGGAGCGTTGGGCAGAGTTGGGGAGTGGAGGGGGGACTGAGCCGGCCAGAGGGCCCCCGCCCCCCACTCCCGCCCGCCCAGGGACTGATAATGTGAAGTTCCTCATTTTGCACAAGTGGCACTAGCCCCAGGGCCAACCCTTCCCTCCTGACCACCAAGGGCGGGGAGTTCTGGAGTCAGAGGGCAGAGGCAGCTCTGGCCTACCTGGTCTCCCACTCCCGCGGTGCCTCCTTCCCTTCCCTGGGGCCCCGGACCATATTTATTGCATGCGCCCCGGGTTGCCCCCCATCCCAAGCCCAGACTGGGCTGGGCTGGACGGTCTCTTTAGCTCCCTCCTCCCCGTTTGTATTATTTCCTACCTTGTACACAGGCTCTTCTAGAGCCGCTTCCATTTTCTATACTCAAACCAAACAGCAATAAAGCAGTAACCAAGGACCCTGACCCTGCCACTCTCTTCTGCCCCTGCACAAGGATCCAGGTGGGCTGCAAGCGGGTGGTGGTGGTAGAGGAGGGGCTGTAAAAAGTGCCCTCTTACCAGTGCAGAGGCTTGGACCTGTCTCCCCTCCCCAGTCTCAGAAATAGATCACTAAGAGGCCGGGTATGTTTCATAACTAAAAATTTATTACGGAAACAAAACCAGTGCTGCAAATGGGATAGAAAGGAGATGGGTTTCCCACCCAGTCATTGGCCTTTCGTCAGGGGAGAGGATCTCAAAGGAGAGGCTGAGGACCCTGTATCCCTAAGAGCCCAGGATCAGAGGCCCTAGGGGACGCACACCCCTGAACCACACTGGCTTGGGCTCTCCTACACAGCCCCCAACTTTCTGGCAAAACCTTGGGCCTCAGGGAGGGCATGGCTGAGCTCCCAGCCTCTGGGCTGATTGTACAGTGGGGGGCTCCAGGGATCATCCACTGGTCCCATCAAGATTTACCCCTGGCTCCACCTATAACCTTGTTTTCCTTAAAGTCCCCCTTATCCCTGGCCCTGGGATGGAGGAGCTCATTCCCAGCAGGAAGTCTCCTCAGTGAGGTTCTGGGCATGGTTACCCACTAATGGGCAGAAGAGAACTTGAAGACCAAAGGGTTCTGTTGTCAGCTCTGAGAGTTGAGGACAGAGCTAGAAGCAAGATGAAGACTCCAGGCTAGGTAATGCTCCCCTGGGCACCGGGCCACCTTGCCCTTGCAGGCTGGCTGTCCAGCCTGGAAGTTTCTCGGAGCACCAGGGCCCGGGTGGGCTGGGGTGGGAAAGCAGGTAGCAGAGTAGGACGATTCAGAGAACCCCTATGACAAGGAACTGAGGTGAGGAAGTTGAGGGGGTCAGGGAGGTAGAAGGGATCCCCTAGAAGGGAAGGAGGGTGAGGGGATGTTCTTTAGGGAGGGCAAGGAGAAGGAAGGGGGGAACTAAGAAGTCTGAGGAAATTTCCTCAAGAGGGAACTAGAGCAAAAGGAATGACCAAGAAGAGGGAAGAGGGAGCGGGCGAAGGCCACCCAGGAAGCATGGGCCTGAGGCTAGATGTCCTTCCCTCTAGACCCATGACCATTTAAGGGGGAAACGAGGGGCAAAGTGCAGGGACCCAGGTTATTATAAGGGCAAGAGGAAGAGCAGCAGGGTGGGGGTGTGGGGGGGTTAGCAGTAGGAAACGTGGAGGCCTAGGGCTGTTGTGGGGTCGTGGTGCACAGAACCCAAATTGGGCCCGTGGGGAAATCTAGGCCTCAGGATGATGGAGATGCATCCTGGCACTGTCTTCATGTCATAACCAAAGCCTCGCGGACACCTTTAGGACAGAGGTTCTGAGGGAGATCAAGGAGACCTGTAATTCTCGCCTGCATCTGATGGAGATTCTAGAGCCCCTGCCCCATCTCCACCGGAGAAAGTGGCTGAGTCCCCGGGGTAAGAAGGCCTTCCCCAGCCCTGGAACAAGACAGGGAGAGGGAGAAAGGCTGAGAGTACTGGCGGCGGGGGTGGCTTGCCCACCTGCTGTCACTGTAGCCAGCCACCTCCCTGCTAAATCTTGGCAGCCCAGGAGGGTCCCAGCAGCTTCGGCCTGACCCTCGGGAGGGCTCTGGGAAGAGCAGCTCCCCCACAGCACGGCCACGGCGTGGGTTGAAGAGGATGGTTTATTATCTGGGTGGATTGGTGGCTCAGGCAGTAGGCATCTTCTGTGCTACACTGGTGCCTGGTGGCCTCTCAGGAACGGTACCATGGGGTGGGCCCCAGCATGGCCCCGTCAGCCCACCTGGGCCCACGTGAGGAAGGCCGGGATGTCTCGCACGGGCACATTCCTCGTCAGCGCCTTCACACGCAGGTTCCGGTCATCAGTCAATAGCACCACCTCCCGCAGTAGCCGGATCGGCTCCTCTGTGGGCATGAGAGAGCAGAGGGACTCTACTGAGGACAGAGGCAGAGGCACCGGTGGCCTTTTCTCGTCCTGGAGGGGAATGTGGTCCTGGCAGGGTGGGGGAGTCACGGTCAGCCATTCCTTGGTCCTTCTGCAAGTCCTTTCCTTCACCTAGACTGGGTCTACTGGCTGAGCGAGGGGCCGTGCAGGGCCAAGGCTGGACTTCTGCTTTGAGCCCTGGTTGCCCACCCAGGCTGTCTCCCAGGACTCTGAGCTGAGGGAGTAGAAGGAGTTTCTTGCCTCCTCCTCCTTCTGACCACATGGTTGGCCCTAGATTCACAAAGCCACCTCTTTTTGCACATCCCACCAAAACCAGCAGATTGATGCTTTGGGCATTCAGAGGTAGAAAACTTAGAGAGGGAACAAAAAGTGTACCCAGAGTTCCCAGACTGGGGAGAGGCGTTAGTTCGAGGGAACTCTAAGAAGAGGGCAGGGGTCCTTGGCAAAGCTGTGCCAAGGAGCCAAGTGATGTCCTGTATTAAATCATGTACGTGGTGAAAATCTCTAACAGTGTAGAAGAGTGGAAAGGAAAAGGAGAGTCAGGGTCATCCTCCCAGTTCTTGGTCTTACATCCCAGGAGTAGATCTGGGTGTCCTTCCAGAGTTCTCTGCACAGTTACAAGTATATATACTTGTGTATAGAATAAGCTCTGCCCTACTCGCTGTGATCATACTCGGCATACGTACTCTATTCAAATTTTACATACTTCAAAGACCTTTCTATATCGGCACAGATACCCTTCATTCTTTTGAGATGATTTTTTTTAGCACCATCTCTTGGCTACCTCTCCCCTAATTCCCTAACCTTTAGTGTACTGGAGAGAATTTAAGGTGGGGCCGGGCACTCACACAAGTGACACCCCCACCCTTGGCATACCCGCTTGGGTGGCAGGTCCACTCCTCAGTCCCAGGCTGGGCATTTCCTGACCAAGGTCTGGAGGTCCGGAGGTCCAGCACGGGAAACGTCCCATGGGGCTCACCGACTCTGCCGGCTGCCGGGGTGGGGGACTGCAAACGCCCATGTCTGACCTGAGCTGTTTCAGGTCTGCCTGCCTCAGGCAGGGAGGCTGCAAACTGGCCTTCAGCCTCAGGAGGGGTTTGGCAGATGAGGGAGAGAGGCTTGTGGGGTTAGTGGTGGTGAGAGACGGGGAGAGGAGGAAGGAGGGCATGATGGGAAGTGAAGGGCTGTGGGGGGAGGAGGAAGGAGGAGGCCATGGGTAAAGGGATGCTCTGGGGGCTGCCTGAGTCCAGCCCCTCTGGGGGTGTGAGTTTGGGATGAGGTGGGGTGCTGGTGCTATGTGGGGCTCCCAGCTGGCTGTCCAAGTCTGTCTGCAGCCCCACCATTCCTGCCCTGGGCCTCAGGCTAGGAGAGTCCCAGGCCTTAGGTCAGCCAACCAAGGCCCAGCATTGCTGGCAGGGGTCTGCAGGGGTTTCTGTGGATACTTTGAGACATTTTTAACAATAAACATCCTCTGTTTTGACACTGGTAACTTCACTTTGTTAGAAACCAGAGACTGTCATCTTGTCAGGCCCCATCCGCCATAATCCACATGATTTTAAAATTCAACATCGTTTACACATAAACATTTGGTGACGGTTTCTCTGTGAATCTGACAAGTTAATCTGCTAAGAATTCACACTGACAAATGGGGTTTGATTACACCAGCCGTTGCTGATGTAATTCTGATAGGGGCGGTCCCCAGAATGGTGATGGGTTCCTGTAGCCCATTTGGGGTGAAATGGGGGGCAGGGGGACTAGTAGGGACAAAGACAAAATGTATCTCTACTAAGAAAGAAACAGTTCCAAGGCCAGGGTGGGGCCCGGCAATCTCTTGTCTGCCTTTCCCTCAGGGATGCCCCTCAAGGAAGCTGGACAGGGGCGAGCACAAGCTCCTGTTTAGCTCCACTTGTACTTCTAATACCACGTGAACCTCCAGACCCGGCCCCGAGGGAGAGTTCACGTCCGGACTCCTCTGAGGAGCAGCAGCTGTGGGCTTGTTATCTGCCCCGGTATAGGAACTCAGGTGGGTGAAGGGCTGGGCTAACATGGACAGGAGGAAAGCAGGAGAGATGACCCCCCAAGAGCAGCCTGAAAGCCAGGGCTAGGAATATGAACAGAGAAGAGAGGGCAACCAGGACATAAGAAAGCGACGAGAGAGCACAATAACAGTGAGAAACGTGAGCTTTGTAGTTGACGCTGAGCTAGGAGGTCCTAGGGATTCCTTCCAAAAGAGATGTTAGAATCCTAGGAACAGGAGCAAAAGGCCCTGAGCTTCACAGCTGTGGGGCTGAGCAGGAAGAAAGTTCAGTGTTGAGAACGAGGTGCCAGGTACTTGGAAGAGAGCCCTGGGTAGGCCTTAGGCCCAAAGATGGGATTTTGGGGACCAGCAGATGGTGTAATGGTTACATCGCTGGACTTCTACATAGTCGACCAGTTCGAGTCCTGGACCTAGCAGCTTAAAACTCACACCATACATGTGTGTGTGTGTGTGTGTGTGTGTGTGCATGCCCAAAATCCTGAGAGGAGACAGGATTGTGGCGTGGCCACACCCTGGGAGGTGACTTCTCACTTTCTGTCTCTCTCTTCCTGTCTCTCCTCACTTTTTATTTCTCTATCTCTCTCTGTCTCTCTGGCAACTGCACATGTCCTATAGAAAAAACCTCTATAAGGAAAAAAAAAAAAAAGATGGAATTCTACTCATCAAAAAGGTCTTGAAACTGAGTTGAGCTTTCACCTGCCTCCAACTCATTTAGTTTGCCAAGCACTATGGCTCATGACCATGCAGACCAGGAAGAAAGGCCCACTCCTAGAGGGGAGGTACCTCTGCCCAGGCTCGATATAGGGTAAATGTTCAGGAAGGAACTGGGAGGGGGAGGATGGTGACTACGGCCAAGAGAAGAGTGTGTGCCCCAGGGACCACTGGGGGCTGCAGAGGGCTAAACTCAGGAGTTCACAGCCAGAACAAGCTAAATCGGAATTGTAAAGACCTTCCTGCTGTTGGGGAAATCACTGAGGGCCTGAGTAGAGTGGGAAGCTCACTGCCTAGGCCTGCCTCCTGGGTTAGGCTCCTCTGCCTGGCATTCCCAGAGGCTGGAGAGCTTAAGAGGGAGGTCTGACTTCCAGGAGGGCAGGAAACTGGGCTAGCCTCAGGCTTATGTCAGTCCTGGGCTCTGTTCCTTTAGACTTCCCAGTTCAGAGTCAGTGGAAGGATCCTTCCTGGGGGCTGAGGATGTGCTAGGAGGAAGAGGGGCAGGGAGGGTGGGTACTCCCGAGGCAGAGGAAAGCTGTACCTTTGCTGGTGGGCATGAAGTCCTTGGCCTTGTCTTTGCAGTAGTGGAGACAGCAGGAGAGAATCAGGTCATCATTGTTACCCTGGAGGAAAAGAGTGTGAGAAGCTCACAGGGCAGGAGGGGGCGCCATGTAGAGGTATACTCTGCCTCCAGGGCCCCTAGAGCCTTCCCACACATGCTCTGGCCTTGCTAGGCAGGGTGTAACTGTGCTAAGAGTGATCTAGGGCCCAAAATCCGAGGAAGAGAATGGAGGAGAGTGGATTATAGCATGGCCATTCCCCTGTAGCATGCGCGCGCACGTTTGTGTGTGTGGGGGAGGGGTTCTCACTTTCTCTCTCACTGTCTCTTTCACTGGGGACCACATCTGCCCTATAGCAAAAACCTAAAGAAATAAAAAATAATTTAGCTGACAGGGACCCCTCCTGGTCCTCGATGGTGACCACCCCAGTGGCTGTCAAGGCTGATGGGCCTTCCGTCAGCCCCTCTTCCTGGAGACCCTGTTCTGAGGGCTGGCTGTAGGCTTTCCCCTCCTGCTGGGGTCTCACCAGCTGGCCAGTGATGTCCTCACTGCGGAAGGCGATGGATTCCAGTTCATTACCACGGCTGGTCAGGGCACGCAGGCAAGAGTCCCGACTCTCAAATCGCCGCTCGAGGAACTCAATAGACTTTCGGGCCTTTTCTTGTACCACACGGGCATAGCCCCCAGCCCGGTGGTCTGTCTCCTGTCCCTTGGCCAGGCCGTCGAGCTCATTGATCACTGGTGAGAAAGAGTCCCACAAGGTATCAGCCTCAGCAGTTATGTCTGCCTTTACTCTAGGCCTCTGTCCACTTGCCTTCCCAGCCAGCCCCTTCCTGAACCTCAGAATCCATCCTTCCCCACAGGAGTCTTTTATTGGAAATAGGATGAGAGAGGGGTTCATGGCGGCAAGAAGAGTCCCAAACTTTCATGGTACCCTAGCTGTGTCAGGGGCAACTCTCTGGGGCCCACCCTCCTCCTGGGAGGAACACAGGGATTTTTCTGGAGATGCTGTATTCAGAGGAAGAAACCTGGTTCCTCAACTGCATTCCTTCATTATAGAATCAAATTGAAAGGGTCCCTCGGGAGAGGCAAGAGTATGTGCAGCTAAAGGGAAAGTGAGGCACTCTTTCTCATCTGTTTGGGCCCCCAACCATAGCAGTCAGAGTGGGGCAAAGCTGTAGGCACTATACCCCTGACCTAGTACAGGAAGTCACCATGAGGGAGGGGCAGTCGGCTTCCTTCGCCAAGGCCCCGTTATTCCTCAAACCATACCATTGGCACGTCTACCTCTTCTGATACTGCACACGTGTGTGTGTGTGTGTGTGTGTGTGCACGTGTGTGTGTGCACCCGCTTGTCTGCCTGCCTATGTGTCTGGGACACGGCTTCATTTTCTGGTGAAGATTCTTTCCAAAATTCCAGCCAAAAGCCTGAGGTCAAGTGGGAAATATGCACTCCTTGGGGGCTCCGGGAGAGTTTGGGGTCTGAGGCCTCTCCTTAGTACAATGATTCATGGCGTGGGGAGCCGGCATGAGCATGCTGTTCCATGGTGAGCCTGGCACTCATTGTCTGGGTATTCAGAGACACTTTCTGGAAAGGGCCCACATGGGAACACACACACACACACACACACACACACACACACACACACACAATGTCCATGCTGTCAGCAACCTGAGGTTGCAGTGTCCACAGAACGCATGGCCAAGGCTGGGGAGTAGTGGTGGATGGGTGGATGGTACAGCAAACAGAACATCAAACAGGAAAAACTGGTATTCTATCCCAAAATCTGCTTTCCTGCTTCCAAACTAAACAGGCTTCAAAGGGGAAGCTTGTTTGTGCTTCTGCACCAGGCGGGGCTCTTAACACTGGGGTCAGGTCTAAGAAGCAGAGAGCAGGTTAAAGAGCACAAGAAACAGGCAGGAAAAGCTGTCGGCTTAACCCTTTGCTGCTCTGGGCACAGGGCACGAGTCCACTAAGGACAGTGTCAGTGAACAGGGGCCCCTTTTTAAGCCCCTCAATGAGTTCAGTGACACGCCCAGCTGAGGCAGGTTCAGAGGCTGGCCTGCAAGGCTAGGGCTACAACAGCGGTCACACTCCAGCGCCCTTGCAGGTCACCTGTTTGTTCCGCATGTACCCTCTGGGTTTTCTCTCAAGGGCTTGCTACCTCACCAAATCCAGGTTTCCCTGCTAAACCACGAGCTCCTCAGGGCCCAGCGCTGAAGTTGTGCCTTCACTGGGTCTCTGTGGGACAAGGAGACTGAGCACACAGTAGGAGTGCAATCGGAGCTGGTGACTAAGATCCCTGCTGGTCTGCGATGGGGGCTGCAGTACCTCTGAAATCTGAGGGAGCTTCTGAGATGTCAGCAACCTCTCTCAGTGACAGACCACCCAGCTCAAAAGTGACCAATGCACTTTCTTTGCCCCAAAAACCTCCTGGGTAGGAACTCACTGCCTCTTCTGAGGCAACCTCACCCAGGACCTATGGAGGGAAGGGGGACGCCCCGGACTACACGATGGTTCTGCTGCTCTGCCTAGGTGATACCAGTCACTCTACTTTTGAAGATAAGAAGAACTTTCCCTTAGGCCTAAGGGCCTGGGTTTAAGAGGTTCTGGCCAGGCCACATGGGGAGGGGGAAGGAAGACGGGGAGGGTGGAGGCGGGGAGAGGGCTGCTTCAGTGCCAACATTCTCAGGTGGTGCTAACGTGTTTCCCACAACCCCCCAGGGTTCTACAGCCTCTGCAGGGGCGGATGTTTCCTGCCCTTTGTTTCCACCCCCATCTGGCACTAAGACACTTGGGACTGGGAGGGAAGGCCCAATGGAACATCTTGGCATGGATGTCAGAGGTGGCTTGGCAGGCAGACTGCCAGTCCAGTGGCTTTTCCAGAGGACAGAGCTCCCAAACTTGCTCCAAGTGGCTGCTGAGAAGGGGACACAAAAAAGCCAGGGCTTTCCAATCATCTCCCAGATCCTCTCCATCCCCAGGACAGCCATCAGCTAAATCAGCTATCTTAGACAGGAGCCCACCCTGAGGCTGACCCCCCACAGAGCTCCAAGAACTGGGTGCCCAGGCGGTCCTCTGGAGATGGCTCAGCTGGGCTCTTCTGGCCAAAGGATGGAACAACAAATGAGCCAGCAGGTCCTGAGATGCTGAGCCTACCCAGCACCAAGGACCAGACAGTGGTGAGGGCCCAAGTGGCAGGAATCCACAGGCATGAGCCAAGGGCTTGCTCTGGAGGGTTCCTGCTGGCCTGGCCTTAGGGTGACATTGGCCAGAAGAATGCTACCTCGAACCAACAGGATGATCATGAAAAGCTAAGACAATCAGACCAAAGGCATCTAACCACTTCAAAATCCTCCCAGCCTCCCTGCCAGACCACCCAGCAGCACTGCCGTTATCTGCCAGGGCTGAGTGTTTACCAATAACGGGAACCAGCTTTGCTGTTTTACTGCAAGCTTTATAAGGATAAAAACAAGGGCTGGGCTCACGCAGCCTCTGGTTGCTGGGACACAGGAGCCCATTTGTTCAAGCAGTTTAAGCCATGGATCAGCCATAATAATTTGAACTGCTTTGATTATTAAACAATTTTCCTTGCCCCACGCACTCCCTACTTCCCTGCAAATCCTGCCTTCTACACGCACAGCAGGGCTCTGCCTGCCCGGCCCCTGGGCCACGGGGCATGTGCGGGGGAAGGGGGGGCTGCTGCACACGTGCAGGGCTGCTCTGCCCTTCCCGCCTGACTCACCGATGAGGGGCACCACCAGGATGTACTTCCTGCTCTCCAGCAGCCGTGCCAAGCTGGTCAGGTGGTCGATGAACCCATTAGTGTCTGGTACGAGGAACAAGGGTCTGATCTCGAGTTCCATCTGCCTCATCTGACTCTGGTCCTCCAGGACAGCCTACAGGGACATAAACCGTAAGTGAGCTGGACAATGAATGGGTAAGCAGCGTGAGAGCCAGGGCCCTGACTGAACAGTGTGTCAGCATCCTGCCCTCAGGAGCCTCTTCCCTTCCAGGATCAGTTATTCCCCATCACTCCTGAGGGACAGGTCACAAGGGCACTGCAACAAATCAACACAGACCAAAAGGCCCAGGGAAAGGGGTGTGATTATAGCCCTGCCTAGGACTGAGAAAGGACCCTGATGCCATGAAAGACAATGGGTTTCTGAAAGTAAGACCTGGGGCTAAAATCAACAAGGGAGACTTAGGTGCCTGGAATGTGAAAGTGGTTTCATGTATATTTTCTAAGAGGGGCAGATAGAAGGGTATTTCTCAATGCAAACACTCGATATCCAGAACAGAACTGGATTTCTGTTCTATTTCCATATATTCAGCTGTGTAACTAAAAACAAATATAGTTAAATTTAAAAACTGTACAGAAAAAGTGATCAATTCCAAAATTAAAACAGAAGTCTCTCTTGGGACCAGCAGATGGCGCAATGGTTACATTGCTGGACTCCTACACAGTCGACTGTGGTTCGAGTCCCAGACCCAGCATCTTAAAACTCATGCTGGGCATGTGTGCATGCGTGCCCAAAATCCTGAGAGGAGAATGGAGGAGGAGGGATTGCAGCATGGCTGTCCACCTCGGGAGGTGAGTTCTCTCTTTTCATCTTTCTCTCTGGTGAGCACAAGTGCCCTATACCAAAAATCTCTCTCAAACAAAAAAACAAACAAAATCTCTAGCAGCTGCACGTGACCATGCAGCATGATGAATTAACACCCAACTCCCATGTCTGCAAAGAGCAACACCCAGACCGCTTAGTCGCCACCTTCTTCCCCTCAACCTCAGTGGTGTTTCCTAAATGTCAGTCTTTTCTGTTCTACTTTCGCTCTTCAGTCAAAATACTGTAAAAGCTGTACTGTTTTTTCACTTGATATTTTTCTTTAAATCGACTTTAAGTCAAGCTGTTGATTCTGCTTAGCTTCTTCAGCAGCGATATCCGCAGTATCAAGAATTTGATAGGCTCCTGGTCATAATGACTTGTACAAGCTTTGCTGCCATGGTAGGAAGTTGGAGTATCTCCTCTGCATGGCTGAACGGTTACACAGGCCACAGCAGTGCTCTGGGCACCACCCTCAGGCCCCTGGCAGGTGCAGCCAGTGCTCGTCTGTTCACAGACTTTCTTGTCTCTCAGGGAAGCTCCCTGCACCTGCAAAAGCCCGATCTCCTCAAGTCTGACAGCTTCACATGTGCAGCAGTGGCCCTCTGAGATAGGCTCTGAGAACATCCATCACTGTAGGCCACAGTCACTATTGTGCGGCTTCCTCTTCTGGGGATCATGGCCAAGAAGTGAACTGATCTGCTGGCACCTGCCCAGACAGCCTGCTCCCTGCGTGGGGAGCCAGAGGGCACCAACACAAACCTGGCAGGACTCAGGCAAGCAGGTCCCAGCCCTGTCACGCCTCCTCATGGCCTTCTGCCACATAGCAATTTGCAGGGACACAGGGGCAGCCCCTGGGCAGGGGTAGTGGACATGCGTGCCAACTGCGATGGGGCCCACAGTGCTTAGCCCTGGCCACCAACAGTCAGAGAGGAGGCTGCTCAGGTTTCACTGACAATGACAGTAAAACTGAAAGGGCAGGCCTCCACATGATGGGGGTGGCTTCTCTGTGACCTGCCAGGGACCTCTCCCTATGAGTAAGTTGTTGCTGCCACTGCCACCACAGCTGGTGGCAGGTATGAGAAACGCAGCATTCAAGCCTTCTTATTGATTGTCTCTCCGAGGGGAAAGTACCACTGCTGCTGGCCATCTTCCTGGGGGGGACTTGGGTCACTGCCCCAATCCAGGGCTGCCAACAAGGAAGTGACACATGTGCCCACCATGGTGGCTTGGGCATTCTGCAGACAGTAAGCAGTCCCCGCTCGGGTTCTGCGAATCTCTCTGCCCCTTTCCTCAGGGCGAGGCAGCGCCAGCCTTCTTGGTCCTGTTACCCAGCCCAGAATGCATCTCCTGGTGTCGTAGGTCCCCAAATGCCTGTCTTTCTGGGTGAGAGGGGACAGAACAAGCACTGGCTCAGGCTCAGGGAGGATGGTGAACACTGGCATCCACAGTGAGCATGGCCCCTGGGCACTGCCTCACCTAGACACCTACCCCATCTTGGTTCTCTTGCCTTGGAAAGTGACATTCCAAGTTGGTTTGACTTCATCAAGGAAATGGTACTGGCTGCCATTTTTTACTCCAAGTGAATTACGAGCTCTCAGACCTTGTTCACCCTGCCCCGATTGCTGGCAGCAAGCAGGAGGGCCCTTAAGCCAGGTGGCTGAGGGAGGCCAGGGCACACTGGGCACACCTGTGTACTGATGACCAGACAGAAGCAAGCCCTAGGAGCAAGGTTCTTGGAACTCTGGCTCATGGCCAGAAAGGTGACCAGGCACAGACTCTTAGGGAAGTGGCAGTCTTGCTGGTCCCCTGGGGGCGGGGCGGGGCTGAGCTGTGTGAACCTGGCCGAGGCTGTGCTGCCATCATCCGGTCCCAAGGACGCCCGCAGACAACTTCCCTTAACCTGGCTCTGCCCAGTGAGTCACCACAAGACTGCTTCCTGTTCCCTACATACCCTCATGGAGTCCAGTGAGGGTATGATTAAATGAGGCTGCTACCTCTTTTCCTGGGGTGCCAGTGGCCTCTGGGGTCATACTTGGGTCATGAGACTGACTCAGTCCCCTTAAAAAAAATGGTAGACTGAAAAAAGCCTGGGAGTCCACAGGCACTCTTCTATGGGTGTCTGCGTTTCCGGCCTTTTCTGGGTGGTGGTGGTGGTGGTGGTGGTGTGTGTGTGTGTGTGTGTGTGTGTGTGTGTGTGTTTGGCTTTTTCGCTC